AAAACGTGAAAGAGATAGCGATGATCAAGGGCAAGATCGTGAAAAGAATCCACGCTTTAGAGGAGACAAATCAGATGTTGTTGAAGATGAAAGCATAATTTTGGATTTGTATCTAATATCTAGAAGAAAAATAAATATAATAATTATTATTGTTATTTATATATATGTATAAATCTAAACATTGACTCATTTTAAAGACTGGAGGTGGTTTTTATCTTCATTGATCATGATGTTATATGATCTGAAAGTGGTGCAATAGCCATTTTCTAGTTATTAATACAACAAATTTAATGCTTGCCTCTGGATTCAAATCATTTACATATTCAATTGCTTCTTCAATATTGCCATTTTGAATAGCATTTTTTATATTCATTCTATCTTTTATTGAATCTACATCAATACTTGGGGATTGTCCACATTCTTGACTAAATGTTTCAGCTGCATCTTTGTATCCTTCAATCACAAAGTAGTTCATGATAAGTTTATTTAATTCTCTATTAGCAAAATCATCATTAGAAGAATAATTTAAAGTAACTTATATATTATTTACATGTTAACAATAATAATAACAACATACAATGTATCAATTTTAACCTCTGACAATTTTTTCACCCAATCGTCTTTTGTTATATTTTTTTTCTCAGAACACGACTAAAAATATTTTTTAAAAATGCATCTTAAATAATAAAACAAATCAATTCAAAGCTTTGTTAAAGTTGATATTTAATACTTGCCATTTCCATTTTGTATGTAAGAACTATTGTGTTACCATCTTTTCAGTGTTCTAGTCAATATTGAATGTGTAACCATAATAAGTTATTTGACTAAACTAAACTATTACAATATAAGAAGGTCCATAAATGGACTGGTTATGCATTTTCTGATCATGTTAACCAAATTGAAAAAAATATTTGACAGTTAATGTTAATACTAATAGGATTTTTTTAAGAAATTTGGATGACTTTGTTATGTTTATTATATATAGAAATTTTTTGCTGATCTGTTTGATGACTTACAAAAATAAATAAATTTAATAAATTTATTTAAATAATATTATATCAAATTCCAAGAAAGTATCCATATCTTAAAAATACTGTTATCAATATTTATTATTATAACAAAGGTTTAAACATTCCCAAATTTTTAGATCTCTTGTGTTTCACAGAGATGAATCTCATATAAAATATTTTTACTAGCTTTGATATTTCTTTAAAGATAAAATATCATCAATCATAGCACGAAGTTCTTCTTCAGGTCTTGACTGTAAACTAATAATTATTTAATATTATATATAATATCAGTGTGTATATATATCATTACCATCAAATATTTGATAAGAACTATATATAATATTTTACCTTGGTACTAAAGAACGTACTTCATCTACTTCTTCACAACATAAATTGGCTAATTGAGCCAACTCATATTTATGTAATTTATATTTCATTAAAGTTCTATATTCAAAGAATAAATTAAATGATTACCATCATCCTCATCATTATAATTAATAACTACTATGAATAGATTATTTATAATTACTGTTACTTTCTTAATTCTCTTAATGATTCTTCATTATGAAATTTTGTAAATGTGTTTACATATTCCAATGTTTTTTGATAAACACTATCAAATTAAAAAAAAAACAACAAATTATATTAAATATTAATATTGATTATGAATATTTGCTAGCCAGATTAATACCAACTCTGTATTTTTTTGATTATCAGGAACTCTTCCGATTAAAGATGCTACTTCTGACACGAAAAGAAATTCTTCATTTTCAAAATCTTTTGATAAAATAAAGTAAAAACTTTGATAAACAAACAAAGGGTGTAAAAATTTTAAAAAACTGATTTATTTGATATTCTTGATTTTATTAAACCAACCTTCTCCGAATTTTAATTTAGTTGCATCTTCTTCCTCTGGTAGTTTTTTCTTTCCATGAAGAGGTCTTTGCGTTGATGATGACATTTATCTATTTTTATTTTTTAACAGATAATTTTTTGTCATCATTATTTATTGGCTAAAAAATCGTTTATATTTGTTTGTGCAACATAGCGTATGTGTATTATTTATTATATTAAATATTCTTTGGCATGTGAAGTAGCAGCTCGTAGCTTTTGTACTTGAATTGATAAACCAGGAGAAAATATTGCTTTTTGTTTTGCGGTAAATCATTGTCACTATCTGATTTTATAATATCACAATTCATTCGTTACTTGTTTTATTATTAAGTTAAATTATTATTTATTTTTTTAAAAGAACATCGCGACAAATCTCACTGGTTCGTTGTAATCAGTGAACCTGCAAAATTTCATTCTAATAAGATGGATTATAAAATAATAAAATCTTTTACCCTCCAAAAAAAAATGGTTTTAATATCTAAAAAGATTTTTTTTTTTTGTATAATATTAAACACCAGTTTGCATTTCATCCTCATCATCATCTGATTTGTCTCCTCTAAAGCGTGGATTCTTTTCACGATCTTGCCCTTGATCATCGCTATCTCTTTCACGTTTT